GGCTTTAAACTCCTAGAAGCCTCTGTTCTAGAAGGCTAGAAGCGACAGACTCCAACTGGAGTGCTCATGTTGACGCCCAAAATAGAAGCATGGTACATTTTCGGGTTAGACCACATCAGATGTTCACAGTGCTCTGTGAAATACCAAGCCAGAAGTCTTTTAAAGAAGGTGAACCTGATCTGGAAAACACCACTGACCAGGCTCTACAGGTAAACTCGGCCCTCAACCACGGCAAGAGCGTGGTTCCCACAGAGCTCCGATTCGACCCTGACCAGACGGCAACTCTTCTCCCCCTCAAGAGTCAATTGGTGAGCTGTCCCCGTCTTGCAGGTCGTTTATGTGCAAAGATAGGTATGGGACAGGGAGGTACGAAGCTAGCAAAACTCGGGGCCTGAAGCAGGGTAAGAACACAACATTCTGTGCTCTTCTGTCACCCGCCCGCCTCACTGGTTCTCCTGGAATGCAAGGGCCCGGCTCCCAATCTTGGTTGGCCCCCACATACAAAGCACTTTCTTCTTTGGCCTCCCACCGGCCCTGAGAAGCAGGTACCACGAAGCCCTCGTTTTCCAGGGGAGGCAGAGACTCAGACAAACACTAACAAGGCAGAGCCAATAGTCACCGCAGTGAGTCTGGAACCTGGTCACCTGACAGGAAATGGCCTTTTCATCATTCTACCCTACACTGTTGGTGAAGTAAAGCAAAACCAAAAAGAAAAACGGAAAAGAAACAGCGTGCATTTCAACTGACGTTGCTTTCTCTTTCTCTCTCTCTTTCTCTCTCTTTCTCTCTCTTTCTCTCTCTCTCTCTCTCTCTCTTTTCGCCATGGAAATTTTACTTGGTAACTGAAGCTTGGAGATAGCTATTTGAAAATGAAATTGAGTTTGGATTGAAGGAAACAAAAATAAAGAGACCAGACAGAACAGAGTCATGAGTAGTAACATGTAAAAAACAAAAGGATAAATGAAGGGTTGGGCAGGGGAGGAGGTCTGCCCCAAATGTTTACCCAGCACCCTCACCTTTGTCCTGAAACATCCCATCTCCACACCCGGCTCCTGGTTAATGAACATAATTTGGTTGATGTCCCTTGAACTGTATAATCTTTTCTACGAAAAACAAACCCGCAGTTTGTCTCCGAGCCACTTTTAAGTCCCTAACGCCCTGGTTACATTCAGTCTATGGAAAACATCTGTGGCAAAGTAAATCATCCTACCCTGAGAAAGACCAGAGTGTGTTTTTTTTTTTTTTTGTCCCCCCTCTAAGTGTGTTTTGAAGTCCTGGTTGGAAAATTAGTGAAAATTGTAAATCTGTTTGCAAATCTGGTCATGTCTAAATCTGAGATTAGGGCAAAGATTCCAATTTAAAAGTAAACCGTGACAACCCCAGTTAAGCGTGTCCTCAGGCACTGCCAGCAGGGCCTTCACTCACTTCCACAGGCGGTGGATTTATTACAGGCCCCCGACACGTTCCCCATCAGACACCCCTGGAGTATTTGCTTGAGACAGCAGGGTTCAGTCTGCACTTCCTCTGCAGACCAATATATTATTATAAATTGAGCTAAACTGTTTCCTTTTCATAAGTGCTATGAAGTTCAGATTTCAGATATCAGCACAGGGCTGAGGTCCCTCGGCAGGGCTCTGTATAGGATTTGGATTTTAAAAAGTGAAGAGAAAAGGTAGCAAGAGGCCGTGGCTGCTTTTAGTTTTGTTTTATGCTGCTTAAGACGCGGCGGGGGAACGTTCATTTGTAGAAAATTCTGAACATGCGTTCTTAATCAAGACAATAAGAATTTGCCTGAGTAATAATAAGTAATAAGGAATAAGTGGATTCCACATGAATACAATCTAACGGTGCGCTTTGGGTACGTTGTGCTGTGGCTGGCCCAGGTCCATAGGGTACCAGCTACTTCGCCTAGAGCTAAAGGCAGGAGTCAGGAAATCAGGAATAGATACTATGTCTTGGGCATCAGCTCCTATAAAATAATAACACGTGGGGTGCCTGGGTGGCTCAGTCGGTTGAGCGTCCCACTTCGGCTCAGGTCATGATCTCGCGGTCCATGAGTTCGAGCCCCACGTCGGGCTCTGTGCTGACAGCCTGGAGCCTGCTTCGGATTCTGTGTCTCCCTCTCTCTGACCCTCCCCCGTTCATGCTCTGTCTCTCTCTGTCTCAAAAATAAATAAACATTAAAAAAAATTTTTTTTAAATAAAAATAAACAAATAAAATAATAACACTCACTTCTGTTTATCACCTACAATAGCTAAAGGGACAAATGTATATTTGAAATGTATATTCATTACAACATATAGGTAAAGGGGGCAATGTAATTACTTAATATTTTCATTATAATCTATTTCCGGGCAAGAGAAACAGAACTTTACAAAGAAAAGGAAAAGGAGGAAGCACCCAGAACACCCTTGTCATCATCTTCTCTTTCCTTCCTGACCAATCTAGTCCTAAAGCCTTTAGGTGAAGCATAGGCGTTGTGATGAGGGAGCAAGAGGGGGGCCCAGGAGCCCAGAGCAGGGGTCAGTGAGGAGGGAGAGGAGGGCGGGCTTCATGTGGGTGTCAGAGCCCAAATGGGATAAAAGGACAAGTTATAATCCACGCGCCCTACTAACTGTGTAACCACGGCTATGTCACTACATCAATTTAACCTGAATCATTTCTTGTCCTATATAACTAACATCTACTTTTTAGGGCTACGGAGACAGTTAAAAGAATGCTTGACCCGTCATTAATCCCCACTAAATGTGGCTGTCATTCCCATACTACTATTTTTCCAGATGCATGTATGTATAGAAAAAAGACTGAAAAAGAATATACGAAAACAGCAATGAACCTGGTTTTTATATTCTTCTATCGCTCATACCTTTGAGTGTTTCTTTTCTCTACAACGAACATGTACTTTACTTTCATAATCAGAAAAGAACACACAAGATTGTTCTTAAATACATGGAAGCTAGCCGAACTTTTAAAATGTATCTTTACCATTTCTAAATGCAGAAAATTAATATGGCAATTTAAAACGGCCCCAACTGACTCTCACTTCCTTTAAAGATACAAACTGCAAATAGAAACTCGTGAACAAAGCATCCAGAGGAAAGTGGTTTATTGGCTGAAATTAAAACCCATGTATACTCGAGGTAAATACCCATGTATGGGTTGTACATTAAAAATGAGGAACAATCTGTTACCTACAAATGATGCTTGTCGATGGGGCAGAGACTTCAAACTAGAAACTCAGTTCCTGAGGCAAGCAGGGGAGGCTCTCTCAGTAAGAGCTGATCTTCAGCCTAAAAATGTGCCCACATAGAGATTTCAGTGTATTGGGATTGAGACTAAATAGTCCCTTTTAGAGCAGGAAGAGCACCGTATATGCAACCTGCAAACTATCCTGGTACCTTTTATCAACCCAGCGACGTTAGGCCAATACTTAAGAAAAGAACAATCTCTATACGATCTCCCTCACAAACTTGTTTGGAGAGTGATTGAGACTCTTAAATGAAACTGATTTGTAAATTATAAAGCAACATGCAAATGGCAGGGAAGAGATTTAGGGCTTACTTCAATCAGTGTTGGGCAAATGTGGGAATCACCCCATGAGAAGAGGTGAAGGGACACAGCATTAAGCACCAGCAAATCACGCACCACGGGAAAGTCATTCTCTACATAATGACCTTGCCATCTTGCTGCTGACAAGGAGAAAGTCCCAGATTGGTACCATTGTACAGTTAACACGTTTCTAACAGTTACACGTGTCCCTTTTTCATAAAGACAGAACAGGACTCAGATTCAGGATCTGCAGCAACCAAAGGCAGCAGGCACTTAATACTGTTTCACTTTCCATATTTATAAACCTCTTCTAATTACGCCAAGTGATACTGGTCTTCCACTTAAGATAGTGATAGAGAATCTCCTTCTAAAATGAACCCATCTCAGTGAAACAAAGAAAGTGAGCCTATTGAGAGAAAAATATTACATAAGTAATAGTACAGGTAGCACAGGGATATGGCAAGAATCTTGAAGTTGATGTGTAGACTCCTGAAATTTGGAGAATGCTTAATGAGGTAATGCCCTAAAGAGCTAATCCAAACTCTGAATTTCCAGAAGGCAAGGACCAAGTTTTACCTATTTCCAGCATCTCCTCCAGAACCTTACATAGCATGGAGGACATCACAGGCCCTCTATAAATACTCAATTGATTGAGAAGCAACTCTTATCATAAAAACCGGCTTTGAGCCTTGGGGCTCCCCAGCTCTAAAGTCAATACATGAGTAGATTCCCCCAGGCAGGTAAGAGTGAGATAAACCTTGGATAATCAGGAGCTAAAGCCAGTGACAGAATAAACCCAGGGAAGCTTTGTGAGTATAGAAGGATACAGTTTACATGCAATGCATTGGAAGACAAGCAGAAAATCCAAAAAAACCCAAAGAACTGAGAGCAAAAGCTGCTCAAATCCTGCAGCTTCTCCGGTTAGCCTAAGCCTGAGATGCTGCCTCCTCAAAGAACTCAAAGACAAGTGCACAGAAAGGCCACGTTGTCAGGTCAGCTCCTCCTGAGAAGAAACTAAATTCAGAACTAGAAAAAAAACTTTCACTAAGAACTTATACAGACAGGGAAATCATTTTAAGTAGCCTCCACTCCCAGTGTGGAGAGGGAAATCATTTGAATACTTCACACTGATAAGTTGATTTGGATGATGGAGTAACTCAGGGAAAGTCCTGAAAACTGTTTTAGCACATTTGGGAAACTCCAAAAACAATCAGAATGGGAGGAGGGGAAAAAAAAAAAAAAAAAAAAAAGCAGCTTTTAAAAATGAGCGATAGCTAAAAAAGAATAAGGAAATAAAAACAAACAGAAAAAAACTAGTTACATGTAGAAGATTCATTATCACTATAAAATACCTGAAAAGCTTATTCCAAAAGACACATTCAAAATAGGTAGCCAACAGTCTAACATTTAGACACCAGAGCATCAATATAGTTTTGACCCTCCTAATTACCAAGCATAAAATAGCAGTCTCCTTGGTGAAGGGGTATTGCCAGACCGGGTGTCTCTATGTCCCACGAGATCTTAAAACCAACATGCCAAGTATCAGGATCTCTGCCTTCAAGCTGGGGATCATCCTCACTCTCCTCTTCAGGGCCTGTCAAAAAGAGAAGAGAGGGATCAGGAAGGAAATGTTTCATCTCAACTTCTGGGCTTTATAAACGTGATCTCAGGAATAATTAAGTTTTAATAAAATATGCATAGTAAGTGAACTATATCCTCCTTTTACGTCTCTTAAAAAAACATTCTTTAGAATATCTTTAACATGTCCTTTGTTTTTTACTCAGAAAATATCTTTAAATGGTAAGGGAATAACCCCAGATACCAAGGAGAATAAAAGACTATTTTATTAATTCCATGCAAATAAATTAGACAATGTGGATTAAATGGATAGATTTTAAGGAAGTTATTAACTACCAAAATCGACCCCAGAAGGGGTCAAAAAGTTAACAAAACCATAAAAGGTATAAAGTCAGAGAACTATCTCTTAGGAAAACATATGTGTCAAGAATTTCAAAGAATTCTACCAAACAAGTAAGGAATGGGTTATTTCAATATACTTTAAATTGTTTAAGAGCATAGAAAAAGAAAAGTTTCTGAATTCTTTTCGTGAAGATAGGATATGTATCAAAACCCAAAAAGAAAACACATACACACACATACATACACACACAGATCTCACATCTGAGAACCAATGCACAACTCCTAAATATAGGGAAATAGAATTAAATCTAGCAGCATATTAAAAGAATAACATTCTATGACCAAATTGAACTTATCACAGGAATACAAGGATAGCTCAATATGCAAAGTGTTATACTTAAAATTTATCATATTCATAGGTGAAAACAAAGAGTCACCAGATACACACAAAGTATTCAATAAAACACATCCTTTCAAAACCAAAATATCAATAAAATAATGAGTGGCCAGTTCCTTAACACGATAAATACAGACCTCTCTCAATCAAAGCCAGCATCATATATTAATAGGGAAACATTAAAAATATTCCCAAAGTTAAGAATTAGGAAACAATGTCCTTTATCAGCACAACTCATCACTATTTTGGAAGGAATGGCCAACACAAGGGTGCTCTCTGGAGTTGCCTAACAGAGGAGCCCTAATTAGACCAAAAGAAAACAAAGAAGTAAAAGATTTTTTTAGAAGAAAAAGTGCATTTTTACAAATAATGTTATTATTTGTGTGCAAATCAACCAGGAAACATATATCCCAAGTGATAGTCAAATTAAGAAAAACGCTAGTTACAAATGTGTGCAACTTAAAACATCCAGCAAGATTCTTAAATGTGTATACTGTCTATAAGAAAAAAAAAAACTTTAAAATATTATTGAAGGACACAAAAGAAAATTTAAACAAATGTAAAGATGTTATTATGTTCTGGGGAAATAAAACTGAACACCATGGGAATGTCCGTTCTCCCTAAATTCATCTATAACACAAACCTAATAGAAATACCAACAGGACTGATTTTTAGTTAAGTGGCGCTGGTAACTAGACAAGCTGATTCGACAAATCACATGGAAATATAAACAAGCAAGCATAGCCAGGGAATTTTTTTAATGCATAAAGAGCTCCTGCACATCAATAAGATAAAGATCAATAATCAAACAGAAAAACAGACCAAAGTTATGGAGACAGAACACGTAAAAAAAAGTAAGTGTGTAAACATTTAAGAGATGTACAAACTTACTCATATAAGAGAAATGCAAATTAAAGCCACAACAGATATTTGGTAACTTAATCAGATCAGAAAAGATCAAACACTTTGATAAAATATGGTATCAGTAAGAGTATAGCAAAATGGCATATTCACACTCTCTGTAGAGAAAAATCTGGCAATCCTTATCAAAATTACAAATGCTTCAACACTTTGAACTTCTAGGAATTCCGCAACTCCACTTTCAGAAATGTATCCTCAAATTCCTACCTGCAAAGGCTGCAAAATGACTTTAGAGCAAGGATGCACACTGTACTACCATTTAGAAGATCAGAAATAACCCAAATATCCATCAATAAGTTTCTGGTTAAATGAATTATGAAATGTCCAGGCAATAAAATATTCTGTAGCCACTAAAAGTAAAATGACTATGCACTGACACAGAACTATGTGATATATATATTTTTTTAATTTTTTTTTCAACGTTTATTTATTTTTGGGACAGAGAGAGACAGAGCATGAACGGGGGAGGGTCAGAGAGAGGGAGACACAGAATCGGAAACAGGCTCCAGGCTCTGAGCCATCAGCCCAGAGCCTGACGCGGGGCTCGAACTCACGGACCGCAAGATCGTGACCTGGCTGAAGTCGGAGGCTCAACCGACTGCGCCACCCAGGCGCCCCAGAACTATGTGATATATTTTTAAGGGAAAGAAACTGACAGGCCACAGTTTGTGTAAAATACAAACACATACACACACGTGTGTATATATGTACAGGTAATATTTCTAGAAGGATACTCAAGATTTATTTTTACATGTGGCTGGGAAAACTACGTGGCTGGGGTCCAGGAGGGGAGAAACGCATAAACGAAGTGAAAGGCAAGGAATATAATCTGCCTACATGAACAGTCCTGCAGGGATGGCCCTATATAAAAATGTATAAAAGTTCATTTAAGAAATATTTATTGAGCACTTATTATACATGAGGCACTGACCCGGGCACTTGAGATCTATCAACGAATGAATCAAAGAGCTTTGCCCTAGTGGAGCTTTCTTTCTAGTGAAGTTGTAAATGTTCAAAGGACATTTTAAATTCCATTAGACACCAGTCTCTGGTCTTCAAGGGGGAGGGTCCAATTTCCTGTTTCATCTGCATTTAGAGCCTTACTAAGTAGCACATAGAAGGCATTCAGTGAATGGCTGTACTTAAGTGCTTACTTACAAAACAAAATGCAGGGGCGCCTGTGTGGCTCAGCAGGTTGAGCTTCTGCCTTCGGCTCAGGTCATGATCTCACAGTTCATGGGTTCGAGCCCCACATCAGGGTCTGTGCTCACCACTCAGAGCCTGGAGCCTGTTTCAGATCCTGTGTCTCCCTCTCTCTCTGCCCCTCCCCCACTCGCGCTCTGTCTCTCTCAGTGTGTCAAAAGTAAATAAACATTAAAACAAGTTTTTTAAAAAATGCTCTTTCAGTTCACGCCATTCACAATCCTTACTGGACTAGATGGCAGGGAAAAAATGTTAATTCCGGGGTGGGGGGAGTAGGAAACACTACGAATTAAACCAAATAACATAATAAAGTGTGGCGCTGCTAAGTTAGTACTGTTCTTAACAGTGAAGAAATTGAGAGAAGAGACGGGCTCGGTGAGGGTTAGAATGGGTAGAGCAGAATTCTTGGAGAAGATCAAATGTAACAGACAAGTACAGTCTCTCGGCGGGTAGAGGAGGAAACGATGCAGGAAGACAAAAAGATGCAAAGTTTCATATGGTCCCAATGGGCAATAAAGCGGGTTTCACGCAGACTGCATCAGGTGCGCGTCACATCCAGAGCCCAAAAGTACATGCATCCCAGAGGGCACGGACCCATCCACAGAAATTCCTCGTTCTGAACACCCCACTCTGCGGTAACTGTGCACAAGGGTCAAAGGCTGTGAAAGAAGGGGGAAGGGGGAAGAAATCCCCTTTATACTTATTAATTCACATTACTCTGCGGAATGGTGGGGAAAGAAACCGGACCAGAAATCCAACTTCAAGGAAGGAATGCGACTAAATGACCTCCAAGGGCCCATCCAGCTCTAGATATTCTTCAATTCCTTAAGTTTGAATCTCAAATCTGATATGCCATAAGAACAGAATCTTATCTTGTTTTCCTATTTGTTATTTCTGATAAATGTCTTCTCAAGCATTCTGTGGTTAGGAGCAACTCTAAGCTAGTTTTCTTTACGAATAAAGTCATATAGTAAAAAGCCTAAAGCCATTTTTCTAGGGTAATCCCAAAACCATTTAAAAGAGAACCCTCTAGAACAGGAATGACAAATATCTTACATATCAGAGGACACAACTAATTCATCGGTTGTGGCTTTTGTGACCCCGGTACAGAATTATTCTGAATTTCTCTCCAAGCTCAGCAGAAAGAGTGGTATAATCAATTACTGATGTCTGTCACTGGCACTAGAAGGGGTCGTTAGCAGCAGCAGAGACAGATCATTTGCTATACACGTCTGATGGCGCTCTCTAGGCATGTCTTATTTATACATAATAGTTACACCTGAAAATTCTAGAATTTGCTAGAAAACTAGAGCTCATGGACCAGAAAAGAGCCCACGAAAGGCGTACAACTTGACCTGCACGACATCTTCTTAACCAAACCAAGTTAGCGGGAGCCTGGGTGGCTCAGCTGGTTAAGCGTCTGACTTGGGCTCACAGTTCGTGGGTTCGAGCTCCACTTCGGGATCTATGCTGACACCTCAGGGCCTGGAGCCTGCTTCAGATTCTGTCTCCTTCTCTCTCTGCCCCCTCCCCCACTCATGCTCTGTTTCTCTCTCAAAAATAAATAATGAACATCACAAAAATTGTAAACAAAACTAAGTTAGCTGCCAACTGATACAGGTGCTTTGCATAAAAATACGAATGTCCAGCTATTGTTGAATTACAAGATCTGGTATCACTGAGGCAGTCACAGGCGAAGAAGTAACTGCCCCTTTGAGACAAGGCATGTCCTCTGGGCTAGTGGCAGTCCCCGTCAGCCATTTCACCCATTTGCAGTAGCTGCCTGGCCCCTACAGCCATTTACAAGTCTCTGAACTTTGTTCTAGCCCACAGGCAAACCAGGCCCATCACCTGCTTAAAGTAACTGGAACACAGTCACAGCCCATTCATTCACACAGCAGTCCGAGGCTGCCTTCACCTAAAACAGCAAGGCTGAGTAGCAAAGACACAGAGCATAAGGCCCATGAAGCCGAAAATATTCATCATCTGGCCAGCCCCGTATTCAGAAATGTTTGACAACCCCTGCTCTGGAGTCTTGATATCTGTGATTTGATAGAGATGTCTACTGTGCACGTTAGTGAGGAAGCCAGGCTTTATAAAATAATGATGATGTCACGTGATGAATACCAGCATACGACATAATAAAGTAATTA